GGGGTTGAGAGAGAGAAGCTGTATGGTGGTTGTTGGGGGGTGGGGGGGAGAAGGTGGTTGTTGGGGGTGGGGAAGCTGCTTGTTAGGTGGTGGTGGGGGGGGAGGCAGAGGTATCTCGTGGTTAACACTGTAGTAGACCTGGTGGGGAATTGTTAGCAGGCTGCTTTGGAACACAATAGTGATAACATTAAGTGTTCTTGCATAGCAAGAACACTTAATGTTATCTCACATATATAATATTATTCTTATTATAGCCAAATTTACCACACTAACTCCTCCCACTATTTTTACACTACATAGATAGTAATATACCAAAACGTGCAGATTGTTCCATATTGGATTGCTATTACTTTGTGGAACGTTTCACTGAATGGTTCACGGAATATCGTCGTTCTTGTGGCAAAATTGGTCCCATAGGAATGAATAGCAAAATGTTCAAAACTAGAGGGTGAGCTGGCAAATGCCGAAAAATCAGGACATGATTTCTAAACTGCCACCACTCCCTCATTTTCAAGCCCACCTACACAAATCTTATATCAAAACGTTCAGCTATCCCTGCTGCCACTAAACATGTCCACGGCTAAGCCATAGTCTTGCTCCATTTGTAGTAATATCAAATCTACAGCTATACATGACCTCATCATCTCTAACTCACTCACAATACTGGCACTCACTGAGACCTGTCTGTCCCCATCCGATACTGCTACTCCTGCTTATATGTTTCGGTGGTCTACAGTTCTCAATACTCCCAGATTCGACTGTAAAGGAAGTGGTATAGGCATCCTTCTCTCCCCTCAATGTACCTTTCAACCTATCCTCCCTGCCCCATCCTTTACTTTCTTTGAAGTTCACAATGTACGCCTTTCTAACCCCTTAAAGACCAAACTAATGGAATAAAAGGGAATCATGATATGTCACACATGTCATGTGTCATTAAGGGGTTAAGCCCACTCCTTTAAGAATTGCCATCATCTATCGCCTACCCCCCGGTCACCCTAAACTATTGAACACTTTTCCTCCTGGTTACCCCACTTTCTTTCCTCTAGCACTCCCTCTCTCATACTTGGGGACTTCAATATCCCTATCAACAAGCTCAACTGCCCTGATGCCTCTCGTCTGCTCTCTGTAACCTCCTCCTTTGGACTTACACAGATTTCTTCCTCAGCAACTCACACTGCAGGAAACACTCTTGACCTCATCTTCACCAATCTCTGTACCACCTCTGATCTCACCACGGTTCCATTTCCTTTGTCTGACCACTATCTGCTAACATTTAACATCTGCATACTCCATACCAAAATTTCACCACCGTCAACTCTCCAACCTCGCAGAAACCTCATCTCCCTCGATCTCCAGCACTTCTCCACCAAACACTCCTTTTACTCATCTCAAATCTCAACTGCCCTAACTCTGCAACCTCACTCTACAACTCCTCTCTCTCCTCTCAACTTGACATCATGGCACCTCCTACAGCTAAACGCAGCAAGCGCCCCCAACTACAACCCTGGCACACCAAGCTGACCCGTTACCTACAAAAATGTTCCAGAACTGCTGAACGCTGCTGGAGAAAGTCTCACTTTGCATCTGACTTTGTCCACTATAAATTTATGCTGCGCTCCTACAGCATGGCTCTTTCCTCTGCAAAAGTAAACTTCAACACCCTCATAAGCACACTGTCCCACCAACCCAAACACCTGTTTCACACTTTTGATGCTTTTCTTCGCCCTGTGACTCCCCCTCCTTCCACCACCTTGTCCGCCATAAACATCTCATTTCACTGAGAAGATCTCTACAATCAGGAAAGAGATCTCTAATCTCTCTCCTACCTGTATCAATACATCACCCAACCCCACTTCCCCTGCCCTCCTATGCTCATTTGCACCTGCTACAGCACAAGAGGTTTCTGCTCTGCTCCTGTCCTCTCGCCCCACCACCTGCTCCCTCGATCCTATTCCATTGCATCTCATCCGTACTTTGTCTCCCTCTCTTGCTCTTCCTCTCACTAACCTTTTCAATCTCTCCCTTTCCTCTGGCACATTTCCCTCTGCCTTCAAACATGCAACCGTAACCCCAATTCTGAAAAAGCCCAACCTTGATCCCAACTCCCCATCCAACTACCGCCCTATCTCGCTACTGCCATTTGCCTCCAAGATCCTCGAGAGAGTTGTCTATGCCAGATTGACAGACTTTCTCGAATCCAACTCTCTGCTTGACCCCCTTCAGTCTGGATTCCGCGCTGGTCACTCTGTCGAAACTGCTGTGACCAAAGTATCCAACGATTTAATTGCTGCTAAATCTCGCGGCCAATACTCTATCCTAATCCTCCTTGATCTTTCTGCCGCCTTTGACACTGTTGATCATCAACAGCTTCTTCACATTCTCCGTAACTTTGGTCTACGGGATACTGCTCTCTCCTGGTGCTCCTCCTACCTCTCCCAGCGCTCTTTCAGTGTTTCTTTCTCTGGCTCTGCTTCTTCTCCCCAACCCCTCTGTCCCCATCCCCCAAGGTTTTGTCCTCGGCCCCCTACTGTTCTCTATCTATGCTGCCTCCATTGGTAAACTCATCAGCTCCTTTGGCTTCCAATACCATTTATATGCAGATGACACGCAAATCTACCTGTCCTACCCTGATCTCTCTCTGCCCACCTTGACTCGTGTTTCTGACTGCCTCTCTGCTATTTCTAACTGGATGGCTGCTCACGTCCTTAAACTCAACCTGTCCAAAACAGAACTTCTAGTTTTTCCTCCCTCAAGTGCTGCTACTCCTGCGTCTGTCTCCATCCAAGTCAACGGCGCTACTATCACCTCTACCTCCCAGGCTCGCTGCCTAGGGGTTTTTTGATTCTGATCTCTCTTTTACTCCCCATGTCCAATCGATAGCCAAATCCTGTCGCTTCCAACTCTAGAACATAGCGCGCATCCGCCCATATCTAACGCCGGACGCGGCTAAGGTACTGGTTCATGCTGTTCTCTCTCGCCTTGACTATTGCAATTCCCTTCTCACCGGTCTTACATGTTCCCAGCTTGCACCGCTGCAATCTATAATGAATGCGGCTGCGAGGCTTATTTTCCTGTCCGGTCGCGCCTCCACGCTCTCAGTCCCTACATTGGCTTCCAGTTAGATATAGGGCCCAACTCAAAATTCTGGTGCTTGCTTACAAATCCCTACGTAATGCTGCGCCAACATACCTATCCTCCCTCATACACAAGTATGTCCTGTCGAGACCCCTGCGCTCAGCTCAAGACCTACGTCTATCCTCTGCCCGGATCCCCACCTCTGATGCTCGCCTTCAAGACTTCTCCAGGGCTGCACCTATTCTGTGGAACTCCCTTCCCCCGTCAATCAGACTTTCACCCAGCCTCCACTCCTCCAAAAAATCTTTGAAAACTCACTTCTTCATTAAAGCGTATCAATTAAACTGTCAGCAGGTTTCTAATCCCCCACCCCATGACTCCGTTCCTTCACCTGTCAAAATTGACCTACCAAGCACTCAATAAACCCTTCTGTAACAAACTATTTAATTCCCCTGCTTTAACCCTTTGTGTCACTCTACCCCACTCCCTCTAGCATGTAAGCTCATCGAGCAGGGCCTTCAACCCTCTCTGTTCTTGTATGTCAGTGGTCTGATCTCAATTTTGTGTCTGTTAGTCCACCCATTGCACAGCACTACGGAATTTGTTGGCGCTATATAAATAATGGTCCTGATAGTTTTCACAATATGACCATTTGTTTGCAACTCACGCCATCCATTGACATTCATTGAAACTCTACTCTAGCCAGCTCAAATTTGAAAGGCAATTTCTAAACTGCGACTGTGCCTTCATTGTTAATATTTCAGAGACATACAATGCATCAAAATGTAGGTCTGGGTCTTGTGATTCTCACAATATAAAGCTCTTCGCTGTAGGATTTATAGTTTTTAAAATACAAGTGTTTGAAGATGGCAACCACCAGTTAAGTGAGCAAGTTGGAGCAGTTTGTTTTTAACCGCTCTTCTCTGCCCTATTTGAAATCTTAGTTCCTGTTGGCAGTTGGTGGAATGTTCGAGAGATTTGAAATGGCGGCTGCAGAAACCCTGTGTAACAAGGCTGCAATATGAAGATGCTGTTATATATGGATTAATAAAGTGAGTACTTCGCTATACAGGAATTATTGACTGATTTGTACAAAACATCACAGTGGCAGCAGGGATAGCTGAATGTTTTGAAATAAATTGGTATATTTATATCCCTCCATGGCAAGACCACTTACTATTATCTCACATATATTATTATTATTATTCTTATTGAGCAAGTTGGAGCAGTTTGTTTTTAACCGCTCTTCTCTGCCCTATTTGAAATCTATTAGTTCCTGTTGGCAGTTGGTGGAATGTTCGAGGGATTTGAAAGCTCTTCTCTGCCCTTGCTGTAGAGTGAGTGAACCACACTCCAACCTTTCCAGTTACTCCATCCACTCAAGCTTATAAAACCTGGACTTCTCTCTCACACAAAGACTTATTTACCATAAATTTTTACATCTTAACTCCACGTGCTGACATCTAACTTACAAATGAGCTCTGTTCCACACATTGTAAAAGGGTCCCTGCTGTGTGGCGTGCGCTATGATGGGTTCGCCCGAGTCGGTCAGTGGAGGGATCTGTGGTGTTCCCCTCGTGTCTCTTGATGTTTTGTCTTGTGTGTTGGGAACATAATCGCTTGTGGGGTTCCTGTGGTTGTGGTCTCCCGTGTTTCCCCATATGGGGCCATTTCCTGGATGGTTCCAGCTGGCCCATTTGGGTTGTAGCTTGTGTGTTGGGGTGTGGAAGGTGGTGGGTTGGTATAGGGGGTTAGGGTGGGTGTTGGGGGTCGGGTTTTTGTCATTGTCTGGTGTCTGTGTTATGTTGGGGTCTGTGATCAGTCTCAATCGTCGAGTCGTAGTCTGTTGGTGAAGTCTTGATTTGTCATCTTCAGTAGCCAGTGAGTCCATGTGTTGAGGTAGGTTTGTTGTGTGCGAGCTGCTGTGTGTTTTATTTCTTCTCGGGATCGTAGTTCCTCCCTGTGGGAGAACCAGGTTCTCAGTGGTGGGGTAATCGGTTGCTTCCAGTATTGTGGTACGATTGATTTGGCTGTGTTCAGTATGCGTATTGTCAGGGAGTTTTTGTATATGGACCTGGGTATCTTGGTATGGTGTAGCAACATTTCCGCAGGGGTCTACAGGGGGGTGGGTCATCTGAGAAAAGTTGTAGTATTGTGTTAATCCCCTTCCAGAACGGGGTGATCTTACGGCATCCTCACCATATGTGCAAAAGTGTGCCATTCTCCACTCTGCATCTCCAGCACAGCGGAGAATGGTCTGGTGTGAACGCGTGTAGTGTCGTAGGTGTGCGGTACTAGAGGGTCAATATTTTATACGCTGTTTCCTGAGTCTTGCTGTAGCTGCAGCAGTGATGTGTAAGATAGCCCAGGGCCCCCTCCCACCTTCCCATGAAGCTTGGTTGTGTGGTTGGTGTAAGTGTCAGGAGCAAAGTGTATAGGAAGGATACCCCGTTGGCCAATGGTTGTGGGTCCAGACATGCTTCCTTGTGGAGGCTCTTGTTAGTATTGCGCCCTGTGGGAGGGTTGCGATGTAGTGCCGTATCTGCCTGTATTTTAGTTGTCAGGAAGGTTAAAAACATATGTTACTTGGCAAATCTCATCCTATTTATCAGAAAGATAGCTTTAGAGCAGCACATCGTACCCCAGTCTGGGAACATAAGCGTTGATTTATAATCATGTATCATATGCAAGTCAGTCCACGAACAATAGCATACCCATATGGAGGAATCAGTAAATTTTGCATCCTGGCACAATATCTATCATGGCAATCCCTCATGATTACTCCTTTTATGAAACTTTATAAAACAGTCATGCTTGATCTGGCCACGATAATATCACATCAAAGAAATATTAGTTTTTTTTTCCTTTGGTATCATAACAAAAAATATCTATAATGAAGAAATCACAAATTTTACTTGATGATCGGCAGATTATAGTAAATCTTGTTACAAATACAGTTGTTAGGTAAAACCCATCTTGCTTCATTTGATCGGCTAGTGACTTTTATATCAAAACTGAAGACCATTAAAAACCATTTCCATTTTTGTATGATCAAAAAAATATATTATATTTATATGGGTTGGAATTATATGAAAAGCCTTTCTGGACAGAAAGATAGAAGGTTGAGAAGATGAATGTAGCCCACGGAGCAGCGTAGCTAAGGGGTGTGGGCCTTGACATTGCCAGGAGACAGGCATCTATGGGTCAGTGGTTAGGGATTGGTTTAAGGAAATGGAGTGGGGTGGAGTTATAAGGGGAGTATAAGTAGTGGCCATTTTAGATCTAGGGATCACTTTAATCTAAGTTGCACTTGCCTGTTGTGGCAGGATTTGTGTGGCCCTTTTCTTTTGTCTCCTCTGCAGGTTGTCAGCAAGATTGAAGATTGGCTGGAAGGAGCCAAGGCAGCAGTGCAGGAGAGAGGTGTCGAGTGGCTGAGGGATCGCCTTGGAGATGCTTTGCCGTCCGGATAAGGCAGCTCCCCGGGTCAGAGGCCGGTTAGGAGGACAAGGCCCCGCAGAGGTTGAGCCCCAGTGCGGTTCCTGGCATCCAAGGAGCCCTTCAGGAGGTCCCGATGGAGGTGGTGAGACTACCGGCGGGAAAGCCGCAAGTGGAGGAGGTCGCGGGAGGCGTCTCAGTGCAGCCGCACGAACAAGTCATCAGGCGAGGCTGGAGTTGCAGGCTGCTGGTTCGGGAACCAAATACGAAACTGCTGAACGTTCCGGGAGTGAACATGGAGGTCGAACAGGCAAAAGGGCTGAAACTGCCGAAAGTTCAGGAGACGAACTGGGAGGTACTGACACTGCCGACCGACCGTTTCCCGAACGGGGAGGTAAGAAAACTGCCGAACGTTCTGGATTTGAACAGAAAGGTAGCCACACTGCCGGCCGTTCGGCTGCTGAACGGGGAAGCAGAAAACTGCCGAACGTTCGGTTTTTCTGTCCTCTATTGCAGGGAATGAAGGAGAAGTGTCTGCTGGTGACAGGTGTCCAGGAAAGCAGCCATTACAGGCAGGGTCCAGCGGAAAAAGGAGCGGTATGACAGGCTTGGCAGCAGGTCCTGGGAACGCTGGAAGTGCTGTTGGTGGAGCAGGGACAGCTGCGGCCGATCGCCCGGGTGAGTTGACCTCTGACGCCATTGCCCCTCCAGTTGCTGGGCCACAGGTTACCCCGGTGGTGGGTCCCAGTGTTGGCATAGTTGGTGACGGCAGGGGGCAGGCAGGGTACTGCTAGGGCACAGAGTGGACCAGAAGGGTATAGTGATACACAATGCCCCAGAGTCTCCCCAGACAGCGTGCGGGAGCGCAGAACTTCACCGTGGTCTCCCATATGACCGGGGACGACAACGGGCGGGTCAGGTCGTCAGTGACGGTTCGGAAGGGAGGGACAGCACAGAGGGTAGGCACCCTCCAGGAGGATAGCGCGCAGGGCTCAAGCAAAGGGGCAAGGAGGCACCGGCAGCTTAGCAGCCATCGGAGGGTTACTGACGTAGATGTCAGTGTTCAGGCAGGTCACACCCGGGGGTGGCACAGGGTACCCCCCGTCAGGACACGTGGCTGGAGGCAGCGGGAAGACCGTTCCATGAGCGGGAGTTCCCCAGAGAGAGAGAGAGACACACAGAGCGCAGGCTCGCAGCCCTCAGGGACTGATGGCTAGCAGGGAGATGGGTTACAGTTCCCAGGAGGAGAGGGGACGGGGCAGGGTTTCCATGGCCAGCCTACCCAGGATGTCTTCTCCTTGCAGGTCATGGAGACGGTCACCCTTGATGAGGGAGAGATCCCACGTGTTGAGGACATCAGGACGGTCGCAAGCAGGCAAGGCGGACCCAGTTGTCGGACAGGCGTCTTCAAGGTCGCCCGCGGATCAGGTGAGACCCAGCGCTGCGGGAATACGGCCCAGGACATCCATAGTCGGTCGGCAACCCCACGGCCTTCGGTGGCAAGGGGCGTGGAAGGTGAGACATTGTCTTTGCAGCAGTCAGGGGAGCTTTTGATGGCATTAAGCAGTTAATTGATCCGGGGCGCTTCAGTCACTTCTTGGCTGGTTAAACTTCGCCTGTCGGGTGATTCCGGGCGGGAGGGTCTTTAACTGGTTCCTAGCGAAGTCTGTGGAAATTCTTACGGGATTTTAGTGTGAAGCTGTTCTTTCAGGAGCCGGCGGCGTCTTCCCCGGATTTGGAGAGGTTTACGGATGCGTCTGGGAGTATTGGTTTCAGGGCTTAATTCTCGGGTCAGTGGTGCGTGGAACTTGGCCAGCGGTGTGGAAGACCAGCCCGCCGATCCGCAACTTGGCATTCTTGGAGTTATTCCTGTTAGTCGTAGCACTGTCCCTATGGGGCCCACAGTTGAGGGATAAGAAGGTTGTATTCTTTTCGGACAATATGGCGATGGTAGATGCAGTAAACGGGCATTCAGAGTCCTTTATCCCGGTGGTGTGGCTTCTTCGCCGTTTTGTTTTGTTCTGTATGCGTTTTAATATTGTGCCTGGACTGTTGAATGTTATTGCTGATGCGTTATCTTGTTCGCAGTGGGAGAGATTCTGGCAGGTGGCGCTTGGCATTCAGGCGGAAGGGATGTCTTGATGAGATGTGGCGGACTGATCAGGGACTCCTTGGACGGCGTATGGTATGGTATGGTGTGGTCAACTCTCAAAGGAGGCCCTCATAGACGCGATGTTGTGGCTCTTGTGTAGGTAATTCTCCTCAGGGGCCTCGGCAGCGGTAGTCGGACGTACGCTAGCAGCTTTAGCCTTTTTGTTCAAGTTTAATGGATGGGAGGATGTCACAAAACATTTTCTCGTTAGGCAGGTATTGAAAGGTGTCAGTGGATTCCAGGTGGCCGGTGTTGTTCGGGTTGCTTCAGCGGGTGGTCCGGGTGCTGACCGATGTGTGTTTTTCAGGGTACGGAGTCACTGTTTTTATTTTTTTCCTTTTTCGGGGCAAGCTGGGCAGCAGCAATCGCCAGGGGGCTTCAGGCGGCGGATGTGGAAGTGTGGAGTAACAGGGTAGTGATCAACCTGAGGCGGTCCAAAACGGATGTACTGGGAACAGGGACGTTGGTTACGTTGTCGGAGCTCCTGGGTGGGAAAATGTGTCCGGTTAGGTGCGCAGCGGCCTTCCAGGAGGAGCAGGCGAAGTTCATATTTTAAGCATGCGGACGGCTCTTCGCTATCGAAGTTCCAGTTCCTCAGGGTGTATCGGAAGGAGTTGGCTAGGTTGGGAGTGGACCCACGCCAATTCGGGACTCATTCCTTTAGGATTGGCGCAGCTACTGTAGCGGCAAGACTGAGCTTGGGGGATGAGCGGGTGAAGAATATTGACAGGTGGGAGTTGGTATAAATCCTAGGGGTGGTTAATGGGGAATTTTGGTTTCGCAGTTTTTTTTGTTTGTCTGTTTGCATTATGTCTTACAGGTCGGATGGCATGGGTGGTCGGCCACTCATACATATACTGGGTGCATCTGAAAGCTGCAGTTTGACATCGTGGTCTACAGCTGGGCTTTCCACGTTCCGTGGTTCAGCTTCGGTTGTTTGGTTAGCGGGGTTGGAGTTGGAATGCAATTTGTGTTGAAATGTTTAACAAAATTATTTTGGGACAGGTTCCGGACATAGTGGTGCTTCACGCAGGGGGCAATGATGTCTGGTTGTTACCTCAAAAGGAATTGATTGAGTGTATGAATAGGGATGTAGACAGGCTGAGAGTTAGTACTGGGGTTTATGGTCATATGTTCGGAAATGGTTACGAGGTTTTACTGGCGACATGCGCGGAATCCCTCCGCAGTGGCAAAAATTAAGGAAAAAGTCAATAAGGTGATGGCAGCGGATGTGAAGTGGTTGGGAGGGGTTGTAATTCGGCCCAGGGAGTTGGAAGACATGCTTCCAGGTTATTATAGGTGCGATACGGTCCATCTCTCCGAAGTGGGTCTGGATTTTCTTGAGTCAGGCTCTGAGCTGTGGCGGGGGATGGAGAGTAAAGTTGGGGGGAGAAAAGGGTGAGATGGGGTAAAATGTGGAGTTCAGGGCTAATAGGCAGGCCTTTGGACTGGTTTGGTAGCTCCAAACCAAGGTGTGTAAGGGTTCTCGGTATGCCCCTACACTTGTGGTGCCCTTTGGTGGCAATGGTCATGGTTAAATGTTACAATGTTTTGGGTATTATGTTATGTGGGTCATTGTCAGGGGGTTTAAATTGTAAAATGCAGGATGGTAATTGTGCAGGCCAACGTTGGCCTGCTGTTGACAATGACTTTTATATTTTCTGTTAAGAATCAATAAAGCAGTGATATAACGTTTGCCAAAAAACTATGGTGTCAGTGTTTTATTGGAAAATGGGTAATGGTGGGGTTTATGCATATGCCGACAAGGCGACTATGCACATGTCATGTTACAGAATTAAAGCGAAACAATTGATTTGATCATGCTACCATTATATAAAACCTTTTCAAATATTCATAAATATGTATATGTGGGGTATTACATGGGTTTACAAACTAAATCAGGACTTCACAAATTTGTTTTCAAACTAGGAGCCAGTTTTTTTTTTTTTTTTTTTCTCTGCAATGACAAAAATACAATTCTTAAAGGGACACTCTAGTCGCCAGAACTACTCTAGCTTAATGTAGTGGCTCACTTGTCTATCGATTGTCTCTGCAGGTTTTTCAATGTAAAACTCAACCTTTTTATAGAAAAGGCAGTGTTTACATTTCTGCCTAGTAACACTATGTTAATGTTACTGCAGTCAACCTACATTCAGTGTCTCCACGCTCTGCATGGAGAAGCTGAACATTCCCCATACAGATGCATTGATTTATTGCATATCTACAAGGAAATGCTGGAAATATGGAGGCAAATCAGCTGCAGCGAGACTGGCATGGCATTGGGGGAAAAAAAGAGATTAAGAACACCATTCCCATGGAATCAGAGGGGGCTTGTGACATAAACACACACTCATAGACCCACACACGCCCCAGATGACACACACACATACTCTCACACAGTCATAAAGTATTTGATACACTCAAATGGATACACACAGATTCATAGATATACACACACATCAAAAAAATATACATATTTTTAGCCACCCTCCTGTTCCTACCTTTTGGGCTCGGGAAGGTTAATGTGGCTGACTGTAGCTGATGGGAGTAGGCTCTGTTCCAGACTCCCCCTCCTCCTGTCTCTCCAGCCCATTGCAGATCTATGTGTGCTGGGAGGAGGTGAAAGAAACTGTGTAATTACTTTCTCCTGGCGCTAAGGCTACAGAAGGGTAGGTGGCTGGCTCTGCATAATAGGGGCGGAATGGAGGCAGGCTCTGCGTAATAGTGATGGGTTAAAGGCCAACTCCAAGGAATGTGGGCTGGCTCTGTGGAATGTGGAGGTGGGGCTAGCTGAGGGGTGGGGGAGCGGGCAGCTAGCAGGCAGTCTGCCCTTCCAGCTTGCCAATTACCTGTGGTAGGAGGCGGGACGGACCGGGCCGACCAATCCCAGGCACAAGATTAAATTCTTAGTCACAATGGTAACCTGGCTCCTGGTATTTGTCGAGCCCTAAACTAAACACACTAAATTATTTTCTCATTTTAAACAGATGGGGGGATATATATATATATCTATCTCTCTCTCTATCTCTAACTGCTATTGCAGATAGACCAGGAAGTGACATAAGTCCAACAAAATTATGGTCCCTGACCAAACTGGGAAACAACGTATACAGGCATAAATAATTTTTATGCTTCCAAGTTATGGAAATGTTCACTGGGTATTAGGATTAAGACCCATGTAAAGCAATTCTGATGCAAAACAGTGGCACAATAAAAAGGTTCAAGGCACATAAATGTTGCAATCAGAATTACTATGCAATGTTTTGGTGTACTGTACAATCTGACAGACCTCTTAATTAGAACAGAAATATGCAGAGTTTAGCATCACGACCATACTGATTATCTAATCTTTTATATTTTACAAGGCACCCCAAAAAGTGATGCCCTGGGTGGACTGCCATTCTACCCCTCTTCTCCCCCCCCCCCCTTGCTGCACCACTGCTGTGAGTGTAGTAAGTGCATGCAGCTGTGTAAAGGTTCAGTTCATTTAAGTGGTCTGGGTGCACTGTCCCTATTTCAGCACCAAGTCTGCATCCAGTGGCTGTTTACCAGAAAGCCACTGGAGGTGCTTCATGGATCCTAACGAACTTTTGGTTCGGTAACTTACATTGGACGTCCTCAATCCCAGCGTCGGCTATTTGCCATAGGAAAACTTTAATATGGATAGGCCCAATGCATGCATGACACTTGCAAGCCACGACCCAGTGCCCAGGGACATCGGCACTGGTATCAGGTAAGTAAAGAATGGTTTTTGAACCCTTTATTCACTGTTGCGGGGAGGGAAGCAGAGGGAGCTATAGTGCAAGGAACACAACTTTGCTTCATGGCTGTATAGTATCACTTTAACCCGTTAAGGACCGTTGACGGTTCAGGACTGTCATCTGACAAATCCCCTTGAGGACGGATGACGGTCCTGAGGGGTAATATTTACTTACCCAATCGCTGTTCCCCTGCCAGCGATCAGCGTTGCTCCCGGTCTGTGGGGGGGGCTGCCTGACAGTCCACATAGGCCCCTGCGGCCATGTGATCGCTCAAACAGAGCAGTCACATGGCTGCAATAGGCGTCCATGAATCTACCTGCAGGGGGACTGCCTGAACTGATGGGCAGTCTCCCTGCATCTGTAAAATAAAAAAATTTAATTGTTAATAAATTTAAAAAATATATATTTTATTTATTTTTTTATTTTATTTTTCTCCACGATCCTGCACTCACATTTGTATTATAAGTGCCACGGTGCTCTTTCAGCAAAATCAACAAATCTTCACGAATAAAGGCACACGCTGGGGTTTTTGAAGAAAATTATTCATCTTTATTCACCAGTCTACATAAAAAAAATTTAAATTTTTATTCTAACTGTATTTTGAGATTATATATTATATTTATATGCATTCCTTCATTTCCCCTCTGAAATCAGAGGGGAAATAGAGGAATGCATATAGCCTTAGATGACCAGCCGGTGCTGATACTCATTTTCTTCACATATCCCACGGTGATAATCCCGTGGGGATTATACTGCTGTATGCCCTTTCCAGCAGAGCTGGCCATAGCGCTTTTAAATGTGAGTTTTCTACCTCCTAATACTATTTTTCACTCTGGATTTTAGACTTATGACACTTGGTTGTCTGTCTCCCTTTTTCTTCCATATAAACAAATACTCAGACATTCAAACGCACCTATCTCTACTGAAGAGTCTATTCATCTACAATTTATCCAACACTCCTGCTGATCTTTTGTTGTTCTAGAAGGAATTTTGGGACTTTTTATTTTTTTTTAATTATATAATTCTTTATTTTTGTTGTGCATTTGTGAACAATGAAGTTTGATACGCAACGACATTTATGGCAAGCATAATGAAAACCGGTAAAAGGTATTGTTAGTATGGTATTAATAGAAACCGCACTTTTTTTTTATTTTTTATATAAATACATTAAACAGTAAGGAATATGTTAGGTGTTACTGTGAGGCTGAGACGAGGTCAAGGGAGTGTGGCGCTTTTGCCGGTTGACCCTTTAAACTGATTAGTGTCACTTGTGTTACAAGCTTCAGGTAACCTATTAATATTATAAGGTAAAGATAGAACAATCCTTACTATAAACCAAAGATCATAACATTTCTCATATAGGCAATCGGGTGTAGGAGTAGAGGCTGTAGTAACTTATGTGGGGGTGGAATATGAGAGAAGGCCAACTGTTAGGCCAGCGTTTGAAATGCTAATAACTGGCTCTTTCTTGCGTGACCCATAACCAAGGGGCCCTGGGGGGGTGAGGGAGGTGTCATGTGACACACCTATCTAAGTGAGCAGGGCCTTGGCTGTCTAGGCCTCGGTGGAGAGTAGCCCTCTGGTCTAACCATAACGCCAAAAGATTGCGTTGGCAAACATAAACTTGGTATACCTCGCCAGCTGGACCGCATAACCTAAAAAAAATGTTAAAACCTTTTTCACCGCTAACAATAGTTAAGCAGTTCTGTGGGGCTTTCAGCCGCAGTGTCCGTGGTCTTAGCCAGGTCTCTAGTCGAGGAGTCAGTTGCCACTGAGGTGTAAAGGGGCCTTTGCAACCCAGAGAGTTGAGCAGGGTGAAAGCTGCTTCAGTGGAGATTTTATGTGTGGTCTCATTGTGATTAACCAGAAGGGTTCTTGATGATGTCCACCTGTATGTCACTCCAGCCGTTCTCAAGATTGTTGTTACAGGGCTTAGTGATTTCCGCCAGAGCACAGTGGGTCGTGAGAGGTCTTGGAAAATGTGAATGCAGCTCCGTCAAAAGAATAGGGTGTATTGTTTTGCAGTGATTGTTGCTTGAGAGGGAGCATCTGATAACAGATCTCATAGCTGTGGGTGGTGCTCTAGGCGACTTTGGGAGTCGAAAGATTCCATCAAAGGAAAGCTTCTTGGGTTGGGGGCAATAGAGTTTTTATTGATGTAGTGTGGGAGCTCTTCCATCGCTATTGCGTCTGGCACTCCCCGTATCTTTAGGTGCGATCATCTAGCACAGCTAGTTGTGTGGCAAAAGCATGGTTGGTATTATGGACAGTCTATCAGTACAGTAATGTCCTTGCCTTATAGAAACATAGAAACATAGAACATAGAATGTGACGGCAGATAAGAACCATTCGGCCCATCTAGTCTGCCCAATTTTCTAAAAACTTTCATTAGTCCCTAGCCTTATCTTATGGTTAGGATAGCCTTATGCCTATCCCATGCATGCTTAAACTCCTTTACTGTGTTATGTCTTTGATGTCCTGTTCCGTGGCACGGACTCTGTCTGTGGTCATCTGCACCTCAGCCCTGACCAACTCCACATTGGCTGCCAACAGATTCTTTGTCGGTCAGTAGATCCTTGATGTGGCCAGAGTAGACACCTCTGTATAACCTGGAGCAGGCAGGGCCAGTGTCTGAGGAGAAGACTGCAGTAGAGGGTCACTGTGATTGGTAGGTAGCTGTTCACCTCCTTCATTCACCTCCGCGGCCGCCATATTGGATTGGGCCTGACACTGAAGCATGGTCCCAATATCCCTTGATTCTTGAGGTGCGCCCTGCACTGGATCCTGGGGTTTCCTCCCCATGTTTGTGTTCAGGTCTGTTGATTTGGGATCGGTGGCTAGGTCTGCGCTCAGAAGCGAGAGAGGCCTCAGGAGGTCGCACAGGCTCAGGTGAGCGAGGTTGGTAGGCTGCAGACCTCCTTGTCTGTCTTTTCTGCCCGGGACGTTAAAAGAACGGCATGTATTGGTGCCGTATGCTGTCCGGAGGTGAGTGCTAAAAAGGTATGCTGCTGGATGAGCAAGTGTGCTCAGGATTTTAGGCAGATTAAGCCACGAATATTCTAAGCAGAGGCAGATTGCGTCTGCTCACTTCTGTAGTTAAGCTCCCCCCTCACCCCCCCTTGGGACTATTTTATTGGCGCAGCCCTACTCCATCTTTTTGTATTGCTTTATAGGTCCCTCAAATTGCAATCAATAAAATTACTTAATTATGTAAAAATATTACATAAATATGCACATAGAATTTAAATATATACACATATTTATATATTTAAAGTCTACATGTATATTTATGAAATTAGTTATGTAATTTTGTATATATGTATATATTTCATATTTTTATTTATTTAGAAAATTAACAGCTTGAGAAGGGTTAAAGTTGTAATATAAAGGGAGTTTAGGATTGAGTTTAGTACTAGAGTTGGGTAAATTTAGTATTGGGGTACATGAAGCGTTTAGTTTTTCAGTAGGAGTTAAGGCAAAGGGTTTATTTTCAAGTTCAGACTGAGTGCTACAATGTGAAATTTTATTTAAAGTACACACTCTCCTATGTCTTCTGTAGACCAGTTAGATTGATGATATTAGAGCTGCAGGAGCTGTTACACAGTGTGCATCACTCAGAGCTTCCCCTGCTCATCCAGCAAGGCATTTCCTGTTTGAGAGGCTGTCAGTGGGCAGATGGGAAATTATCCCTTCCTGTCCAGCCTCACACACAGACACTGGAAGTACTGGGATAGTAGCATTTTCATGTGCTGCCAATCAACATCAAATTATGTGTGTCCCAGAAAGCATGGTGAAAATGGCAACCATATCTATAACTGTTCCTGCAGCTCTGCTATTAAGGCTGACTGGACTACAGAGGACACTGGACAGGCCCCTGGTACTTAGCTCTCCCCACTAGCCTATTTAAGCTTAAAATTGCACAGTATAAGTGCTGAAAACAGGCCATCCTAGAGGTTGTTGCCTACTCGGTCTAACAGGGAATCTGTCTCTGAGTGTAGTCCATAATGAATATAATACAGTAGTACAAACCTCCTTTACAATCCTATCTTTGTGTACAGTACATCCTCCCTTCTGCATTCTAGACTTCCCAATATTTTAGTTCCTGGCAATTCATGAATGTGAGGGGACATTCCTGCATGTCTGGTGGAGCTGCTTGATGATTTTGGACGGAGGTCCATAGAATTATTTCCCTGCTAACAAATTACTTACTTCACTTTGAGCCTAGAGCAATGCGGTTATATAATACTAATAGCTCAATGTAACAGTACAATTGGACAATCACAAAGATTACTGAACACAGCAAAAGGCGGTTATATACTGGAAACAGGTCTGGACCCTGGGTGCTTGGGTAAAAGATGTGGATGAAAGCGGGAGTCTAGTGGGTTTGCTCACTACTACCCCAAAATTGAACACTGGCCGAGATTACTGGACTCTCCAGACCTCTCTGCATATGGGAATGAGTCGGTGAAGAGGGAGCTAGTGGGGCAACTCTTTCCTGATAGACTGGCTCTCAAAACCATTTCTTTCTCAGTTTCTTATTTTCCATTCTCACCCATATTAATTATTTGGCATTACAGAGTCCCTACACTGCCAAATTTATATTTGTTGACAGTAAGGGGGATTTGCTCCATCTCTTTAGGTTATTAAGTAACTTGCATAATTTCAGAATATATCACTGGAATTTTAGGGCTGACATGGCTCACTTTGTGTTGCACGTGGCACATTGTTTGTGTTCCTAGTATCTCTACATTTCTTGATTTGGATGTACGTGTTGCAGTAGGTTGTCATATTTTATTTGATTGCTGTTAAATACTACTAGACAAACATGGCATGATTCAGTTTAGTTAATAGTGAATTTGTCATTTTATTTTCTTGCAGAATACTTTTTTTTACTTAACTTAAAAAAAATACATATTAGTTGTTAAAAACTAGAAAAGAATCAACTAAATCAGAGAGAGAGAGAGAGATATATATATTAGAAAATATACAGAGGAGGGAGAGGGAAGAAAGAAAAAAAGAGGGGAGGAGAGGCTGTCTTTTGGGAAGATGTATTTAATGGGCAGAGTAGAATGGGCAAAAAAATAAGAGAGAAAAGGCAAGCATGCCTTTATGAAGAATAATACAGTCTCTCTAAATTACACAAGAAGGGTGAGGTTGGTCGACTCCAATCAAGACACAGTCTACAAATTTGACAGGCCCAGAAGAAAGCCAGTGTGTTCGATGGAACTATGTGGACATACATATCTAATTATCATAACCAGATAATATCAGTTTCTCAATTGAGCAGATGTCCACCACCGTGATGACCCAAGATGCACCGTGGAAACCACTTCTAGGGCTTCATTTTTGAGGTGAGGTACCGAGGTCTTATTGTATTTGGGAATGGTTATTGGAAGAGAGTGCAGTAAATACACATCAAGTGAAAATGAAACCGGTGTGTCAGACAACCTATTAAGGATGGCATGTATTCCCTTCCAGAAGTTTACGAGGATGGTGCAAACCCACCAAATGTAAACTACGATACTCAACCTCCATATATTCTACATTAAGAATCTTGGTCTGCAAGATATGTCAACAATTTGTCTGGTGTTTTATAACTTTGGATTCATATTTTGTTGCTGGATCAAGAAGGATTCGATCTTTTGAGAAACATCTGGCTTGGCAAAAGCTTCAGAGCAGAAGGACCAGCTGCTGTGGGGATTTTGTCCCATAGCTGGAATAAAGGTAACTTTAATGGTGATTTTAATTATTTAAATTTTTTTATTTTAAAGTAGGAATTTAGCATCCTCAATGTAAAAATAATTCATCCATTTAACAAAAATGTTTATTTTTTTTTTAGTGTTCCTTTAATGTAGTGTACAAGCTACAATGTTCTAGGCAGTGCTGCCATCTAGTGCCTGTAGCTGATATAGAATATCTCCTCTTTAAAGGAACACTTAATACCCAAAAGTGTATTTGTAGAGCGTGGTAGTGTATGAATTTGAGGGTGCATTTGTGAAGCATGGTAGGGTGTGTAAATGTGGAATTATGTTTGTGTACCATGTCAGTGCAAATTTAACGGTGTATCTATTAACTTTATAGTCAAAGTGATAATATGAACACTGCAGAAGTAATTAATGCTTAATGGATCGAATGGGGAGGTGCCAACGACATGGCGTGGGACAAACTGGTTAGTGACAGCAGATTTTACAGGTTGCCCTTTATTACATGAACATTAAGTATGTGTCCCTTGTTCAGTTCTCCATCACTGTCATTGTAAGTGAAGATGTAGCCAGACCCAGGCTGTGCTCACATATAGCTCCCTGTTCCTGATCTGCTTCAAACTGAAGGGGCCCTAGATGTCATTGACTGGTTTCCCAATAAAGCCCTGGCCCTTTACTTTCAAAATGTCATGCAGGAGGCATGGAAAGGGTTATGGTTTGTGATGTGTTTCCACCCTATTGGCTCGATCATTGTCTGCAGTGGGAAATAGGTGTAGGAAAAACCGGGCTGGAGAGCGTCAGCCAACGTAGCAAAAAAACCTGCTGTGACACTGCAACTACCATAACCACCGAGCCAGTGCGAAGCCTACACATATCAGACATATCTGGATGCAGCTACGGTGCTAGTCCATGCCACTATCCTCTCTTGTCTCTATTTGTTTAGTGTGGTGGCAGTGTGTGTCAAATTTGGGGTGCATTATGTAGCATAATCTCTCTCTGGTGCCAGTGCAACTTCCGAAGACTGCAGCTAATAGTAGCGTTTAAGTATTGCAACACCGAGAGCTGGTCAATGTTTGCAGCAAAACAAATAAAATACAGGTTTTTATTGTCATCACTTAGCATTTACAATTTTTGCCAACTGAGCATACATCAAGAAAAATTGTTTTCCAATTAATTACAATAGCACATCCAGAACAACAGTATAACAAGTTCACTCAGGATATGACCATCAGTGGAAGCTGCCCATAATGCATACAGCAGACTTCACAAATTTCACAGGTTTTTATTATAACATACACCATGCTTATATAGATAGGCTTTGATGCTT